AAAAAACCCCCCCCCCTACCCCTGATATTTTCCAAGCAATTTTCCCCTCCATTTTCCAACTTTCTCTATTCTGCACCACAGCCCGACATATTTGTTTCTAGTTTGTTTCCTTATTTTCAGTGTTATTTTGTATTAGCTTCAGTTCATGTTAACTTCTTAAAAATATAAAAATTTTGGGGATGGGGCAAAGTAGGGGCTGGAGATCAAAACATAACGGCCTAAGTCTGAGTGGAAGCCGGTAAGTTCATTGCTAATGAAGTAACAATGATTAAATACATTTAAAATCCTCTAATTTTATGTTTGGAAATCGCGTAACCACCCCAAATCCACTATGTTCTTAGTATAAGGGAATAAAAAATGAATTTCAGAGAGCATGAACAGCTTAGAAGGAAGGTGCAAAGGCTGCAATGTATGTAAGAAAGTGACAAGAGGAAATGAATTTTGAGAGACCTTTGAGGAAGCTCTGCAATCATTGTTCTTTTCCCCTTTTTGTGCCAATTCCTTAATTGTAACTTCTGGTGCTATCTTGATTGGTGGTTTATAGCAGTGGTGCTGAACCGAGCTGTAGCCTAGCCCTGACCTGGCTGCATGGGATGGAAAGGGGTGTGGCCCAGCTCTGATCCAACTATGGGGAACAGGGGTGTGGCCAAACCCCAATCTGGCCACATGGGGGGGAGGAGGCATGGCCCAGCTCCAACGCAGCTTGGGGGAGGAGGTGTCTGGCTCCAATCTGTTCCCCAAGGGCTTGGGAATTTGGCAGCAGGGGAGAGGGGGCAGTATTACTAACTACTGCTCCCCTGCCATCAAAATTTCTTGACCTGTGAGGAACCCCACGAGCCAGATGCCATGGCTCTCTGGCCCAGATTTGGCCATGGGCTGGAGGTTGAGCATCCCTGGTATTAACTGTAAATTAGAACTCCCAATTATGGATTAATTATTCTGTGAGAATCCGAGTTCCAATTTTACCTTTTCTTTCACTCATCCCTTGTTCTATTGCTTATAATTTTCCTTAAACTCCCATGGGGCTGAAAGTGTTTTCTGTCAAAGGTCTGCAAGACAAGTGTATTGACCTAGGATGGAGCTGTTAAGAAATTCAAGTCAAGAATGCACTCAAAAACTAGAGAACATCAAAGATTAAGTCTTCCTGAATAATATTAAATGGGCAATTTTAAATGTTCTGCATAGGATTTTTTTTTTTTTTTTTTGGTTTCCTCGTACTCACTTTTGTCCTTTCATAGTATCTAGCAATATTTGGTAGGTTGTTGCCTATCAAAGCTCATATTTCTCTACATCAGTTAGTCTTTAAGATGCCACCTTGCCCTATCTTCTGCCTGATTAAAATTTACATTATTAACTCTGTTCCCATCACTGCAGTAATAAAATTCAGCTTTTGTATTAGCTTTCAAATTAATCAATCTAAGAATTATTTGAGTATAACATCCATCTCTGATACTACGGTAAAATACTATGGTACAATAAATTTTAATACATTCACCTTTGCCAACATTAATATAACTAGATGATCTGAGCTCTATCAATTTCTTATTGTGTGTTTTACCACACATTTGTCAACTATACTTAGTTGCTACCTTCATTTTTATGTTCTATTTCTTTTTCTTATGAAAAGCACTATAATTTTTAGATCAAAACGAATATAAAGATAACAGGTTAATTCAATATTTTACTTGTGAAATTATTATAGTTATTTTACATAAACAACTTGTTTAATCTTCCTTAAAGTCTTTGGACAGGTGTTTGAAGTTGCCGAAAATCTATTTTACTTAAAAACAAATCAGCGGTGAAGAAAATGTGTCTCCCTTCCTCCCCCACAAATAAAACAGGAGGTGCCAATGGCAAGACATGAGGAATTTCTCCTATATCACATATTTAACAATTTCATCGTTTCATAGTCGCTACGGGCTGGAAGGGACCTTACAGATCATCAGGTTCAGCCCCCCCCCCCGCACGTGGGCACAAAAGACTGCTGAAATCAAATGACCACAGCAAGATGGGCATCAAGATTCACAGATATTAGGGGACCTCAACAGATCATCGAGTCTGACCCCCTGCCCTGGGCAGGAAAGAG